CAATTTTGATAAAATTAGCCACAGTCGACGGTACGCAAGCACCACACACAAAGGACAAGCGCTAATAATAATGTGACAATAAACAAACCAGCTCATTGCACATAATCTCATTTCTTACTAGACACAAGATTGCCAGATTTTTTTTTTTTTTTCTCACCTTCATCTCATGAATTTTGGTCAAGTTGATATTTTCTTCTGCTGACGTGATCATCAGCTGATTGCTCGCATGACGTTGCAGTTGACTAGAAAGTTCTTAGCTGGATTCAAATCTAATTTCATTTTTTTAATTTTTTTTTAAAATGAAGTTAAGTTGCAGTGACAACAAGTGGCCCTTTCTCTGCTTTTGCTAAGAATAAGCTGACCTGTATCATCAGCAACAGTGGGAGGGGCAGTGGTGGTGGTGGTGGTGGTGGGGGGGGGTGACCAAACATGTGAAAGCTCCTGTGGAACCTCTTATCAACTAATTACCTCATTGAGCTCAATGAGTGACTGACTGCCTCGACAATTTCACAGATAAAAATCACACGAGAGGCGGCGAGGGACCCTGGTGCCTGGTGAAATTCAAGTGGTGATGAATGCTAAAAGTAAAAAAAAAAAAAAAAAAAAAAAAAAAAAACACCCAAAAGTCCAGAGAACGGTGGTGGCTTGGCTGCTTAATCCTACATACAGGTGTTCATATACGACTGAAGTTTCAATTAGGTCGGTTGTGGCTTCTCGTAGGTGTTTAGGCAGCTACATTTTATAGGGTTCAAACAAATGAGGCTGGAGGCAAAGTACAACATTTCCATATTGGTTTCCTGATCTGCCCCCGGAGCCTGAAGGGCAATCACATCCTATGTTTTGGCTACAGACACCATCCAGGTGACCCTCCATTTGCATGGTGATATTGTTTGTCCTGAGCGAGTGCACCGGGTGAGGCAGGTTGTAGCCCTATGCAAATCAGTGCTTTAGTTGACGGCCGTAGTCAGCTTGAAAGCAGGGAAAGTGTTGCTGCTCAGGAGGAACACTGGTCCGGGGGCGGAGGGCAAGGGGGGTTGGGGGGGGTGACACTGGAGGCTGGGTTAAGGGCAACGTCCAGTTATGCTTGCTGCATCAGCCCTCAGGCGAGATAACCTGGTATAAGTTTGTGCGCCGGGGCTCTGCCTGCCCTGAGGGGGCCTAAGCTTTGCATGAGCGTCGGATACAAGCTGCTGTGGCTCACCTTTGATTAAAAGTGATCCACCTGGGCACGAGTGGCGCTTTGAAGTGCAATGATAAAACAAAAGCTGATGGCTTGTGCTAATTTGATGGCTAAGTGATTTCATTCCTCACTACATTATGGTTGGACAGCATTTATTTTCTGGCACCACAGAGAACAGAAGCTACTGCCAGAAGTAATAAAGTTAAGTGTTCTGTTAAGTGCATACACCACTCATCAGCCTTCCAATGCAAGGTTTGGACACAGGTATGCAAAGAGCAGATAGAGCAAGCATGATATTATAAAAAATAAAATATATATATATGAATAGCACAAGCTGCAACCAATAGGGTTACAGGAAGATAAAATAAATGTCAGGTCTGTTTCCCTCCTGTTCAAGCACTCAACAGCTGCTGGCTGACATGCAGGGCCCCCCCCCCCCCCCCCCCCTCACAGTTAGATAAGATAAAATGAATCTTTATTGATCCCCACATGGGAAATTCACTTGTTAGAGCAGCTCAAAAGTAGACAAAAAAAAGAACAAGTGCTCGATGAATAAAAATGATATGCACCATATATGCACCTATCAGATCTACAGATGTGACCTGCGGTGGAAACATAAGATAGATATAATGGTAAATGAATGGATAAGATATGTTGCCTGAGATATGTTGTGCTCAGTGCGGTGGGACCTGACTGTAGTTGTGATGCTGTAAGTGGTGGGGTGATTGATACAGAGACAACAACAGTGTTACAGTCTGCTGCTGTTAAAAAAGCCCGACTGCCTTCTGGATGAAGGGCCTGCACTAGCGCCCCTGAAGCTGCTTAAGGCCTTAGGGCCCCCACAGTGTCATGCAGGGGGTGGAAATCTAGAGGACAGTCCAGAGCAGAGCTAGCCCTCTAAACCAAGTTTATTGAGTCTCATTCTGTCCCTCTCTGTGCTTCAGCCTCCCCAGCAGACCACTGCTAAAAGACACCGCTGTGTCATAAACTATTCTTAACAGTGTCCTGCACTCTCCAAAGGAGCTCGGTCTCCTCAGCATATGGAGACGACTTTGGCCCCTTTTTTCATCTGTGTTGTCTGACCTGAGCAAGTTATTCCTAAAGTGAAGTTTTTTTGTTTTCCATTCCCATCATGTCAATATCCAACCCTCTGGATGTTCACCGCTGTGGTCTGGGGGCATCTTCACCTGCACAAGTCTATCACCGTCTCCTTTGTCTCGCTGGCATTTATGTTAGCTCAGCTTAATGACTGTTTAAATGTGTGACGGGCTAAGAAGAAGGGCTCACCTCGCCGATAAACTCCCTCAGTTGCCTGGTTACCTGCCCGAGCCTGTGCAGTTATTGTAAGATCAGGTAGGCGAGGGGAGAGGAAGACGGAACCCGATACCTCAGAGATTACAGTCAATGGTCAGCACTATTCTCTCTCTCTCCCTCCCCGTCTTTCTCTCTCTCCACCCGACCCCAAAGTCCCTTGTGAAACAGTAGGGGCCATTCTCTTCACCGCTAACAGGGCCGTCTTTCTTGTGCCTGTCTCTATCTCTTCCCACAGATTGGCAAAAAGAGAGGGAGTGGTAAAAGAGAAGGGTTTGTGGGTGAGGGCGTGTACATGCATGCAGTTCATGTCTGTGTGAGAAAACGCACAATGAAAAATAATCCTTTATCATTACCTTGTCATGAATCTTAAAAGGGCTCCACCTCATTTGTGGCTAAATGTGGTATAAATTGAGTCCTCTCTGGGAATTCTCAAGGAAGTGAAACAGTATTACCTTACCTTCCAGGAGAAATGAAACATCATAAAATATATATATTGTTAATGGTATTCTTTGAAGTCATAATCTTCTACCACTAATCCAGATTTTTGAAGAAATCGTTCCCCTAACTGAGGCACACAAGTGTCCTTGAGTGTTTTATTATCTCTTTAGCTGTCGTGGCACTTACCTGACAACAGAATATTTTTAGACGCAGCGTCCCTAAAATCAAGAGCATGACCGCTTCACCACTTAATCTAATACCGAGGTTGCTGTTTAATGCTGTAATTGGAGCACATGAACACACACCTTCTCTTCAAGCCATTAAATTACGTTCTATTTACCCCGACAGAATGTCTCAACAGTGAGTATTTACTGAGCCCGTGGGATATAAAAGGCAATTTTAATGTCTGCTAGCTATTGTATATTAAAAACTTAACAGGCTACATCACACAGCAAACATTGATGATACTGCCCAGTAGGCCACTAAACACTTTCTTTACAATTTAAGTATTCAAACTGCGTGCCCCAAATCAAAAGAAGTACTCTTTATTCTTAGTGCAGATTGAGTTTTGTCCAAGACACTGTATTCTAACAAACGCACAGTCCATAAAAGTTACTGCAGCATTAATGTAGAGAGTAAATAAATAATTATATAAGTGGAGCATAGTGACACACAATACATGCTGCTGCCGCAGCAGCAAATAGAGTGCCCTTTTAATTATGCAGGAGACATCCGAAAGCAACAGCACTCCTCACACCCTGGGAAGCAGCTCAGTGAATACACCATATTAGAAGCTGTTAGAGACAGAGCAGAGGAAGAGAAGGCAGAGAAGAAAAAGGGGAGTGAAATGATTTGAGAGGAGAAATAGCAAGAGGGAGGGGAGAGGGATATAGAGAGATGAGAGTGGAGATTAAAAAAGAAACCACTGCAAGAAAAAAGGCAAGGCAGAGAGCAGCATTGTAAGGGGTATGATGTGGCGGAGGCTGAAAACACTGAGAGAGGAGAAGGAATACAGGGGGAGAACAGACAGCACGGGTGGCTGCAACGCATGCAAGAGTGTATTACACAGGGCCAGAGGAGAGTTTGGGGGGGGGGAGGCACAGAATACAAAAACATGAACGTAGAGATATCGAGAGAAAAACAAAAACGGGAAGTTGAAAAAAAAATAGAAAAAAGGAAGAAACAATCCAGAACAGCACACCAGAATTCTAAAGGAGTAACGGCTGACACCAAGTAAAAGAAAGATCAATAATTCATTAGACTGCCGTAGAAAACACATAAAACAACAGTGTTCTTTTGCCTGACGCAAATCAGCTGACTTCATTATGTATTAACTTTGTTTCTCACTGTTGTTGCACCTAACCGTACAAAAACAGACAAAAAAAAAAAAAAGGAATCTAAAGACTGAATTGATAAAAGCTCACATTTCCTGGAATTTGAATATCACATCACGCCACCTACACCTTTTTCCAGCACTACAAATGGAAGAAAAGAGTTAGTGAGTGGGGAAAAGGAATAAAAGCAGAAAAACAGAAGGGGAGGTAAGACGAAGCGTGGAGGGTGGGAGAGAGAGAGGGGGAGAGGAGAAGCAGGTAGAAGATGGCAGACATTTATATATGAGGGGAAAGATAAGGAGGTGAAAGAAACTGAGGCACAATATGAGAGAGGGTATAAAAATGTCCGATTTCACTGCAGGGTCAATGAAGTGACGCAGACCCCGAAGTGCAGAGGAATGTTAATATGACCTCCTGGCCAGATGTTCGTACTCAAGCCAAGACTGTAAAACTGACTCACAAACCTTACAAAGCCATGTTTGTGCTGCGTTCAGCCTGCATCTAAACCTTTCTCTCCTTTCTGCTTTTTGTTCTTTCTTCTCTCCCCTTTCCTCAAGAAGAAAAGGTAGCCTTGTCACAGACAGAGGGCAGGGCAGGGCTTGACATGGCTAAGGGGGTGTGTAGCCGGCCCCCGCCACGCTCCCCTCTGGGATAAAATAACTGCAAACCAAACCCTTATGTGAGCTGTCTAGAACACTCCGACACATATTTGCCAAGGTTAGTAGCTGTGACACCCCCTGACGGAAAAAGCAGCCTCAACACCGTGATAAAAGTAAAAAAGTTGGACATGTTTGTTCAAGTGGTAACAATACCCTTTCCTTAGCTAATCTAAACCTTTCTCTTCTCTTTTCAATATTACATGTGAATGGCACTCCAAACCAAAACAGATCAATACCGCTAACTTGACACACATTAGCACCATAAAGGCAACAAGACTACTGAGACTAGCCCTGTCAGAAAGCATTATGGTAGAGAGAACACTAAGAGGAAGAAACAGAAGACATTTAAGAGTAGTGGAGGGGGAAAAAAAACAAAAAACATGGAGACGTGTCTTCTTACCTGTTTGTTGTATTTGTTGATAGTTTGACTGCTGTATTCAGAGCAGTGGTCAGATCCAAGGGAAATGTTATCTCCGGTGCCAACAAAGGTATTGGCAGGGGGCAGGTCCTGAACTGCCTGGTGCTTTTTTCCAGCTGTTGGCGACTGCGGGTGAAGCTGGACAGTGGGGAGTGGCGAACTGGACTTGTAGTGCCGGGCCAAATCTGGACTCCCGGGCCCTCCGTTGACTGAGCGGTAGCGGCCCATGCCTGGACTGTCCGACAGCTTCTCATTGACGCCGTCATAGCGCTGCCCGTTGGGTTTGGAGGCCTCTACAGTGACAATACTGCTATAGAGTGGCTGTTTGGACTTCTGTTTCTTCTTATCTTTCTTGGGCTTCTTGGATTTGTCATGCTGCTGTGGTGTGAAGAAGTCTTCGTGATCCTTCTTGCCGGCCTCGTAGCCATTCTTATTCTTGGGGCGGCAATAACGGGCCATGACTACGACGAGAATAATGAGGATGACCGTCATGATGCCCGAAACTACTCCGATGACAATGCTTAACCGCTGTTTGCTTAGGTCGTAGTTGGGGTCACCGGCAATGTTGGTGTTCAGAGACGTGCTCAGGCTCTTAGCCACCTGGGCCTCCACGACTGTGGAATTGGAAAGAGTCTCATTTACATACACATGAACCAGAGTGGTGGTGGTCTGTGATGGCTGCCCTCTGTCGTTCACCTGGACCACCAGTCTGTGGAGGCCATAGTGCTTCTGCTCCAGCTTCCCCACCAGCGAAATGACGCCGGAGCCACCATCAATCTCAAACAGCTTGAAGGGGTTTCCCCCAATGATGCTGTAGTTCAGGTCTGCGTTGATGCCGGTGTCAGTGTCGGTGGCTAAGACCGTTCTGACTACTGTTCTGATGTTACTGGAAGGAGGAAGGAGGGTGTAGGAGCTGTTAATTGGGAAAGTGACCGTTGGTGCATTGTCATTTTCATCCATGACAAAGAGTGAAACCGTGGCGGTGGCGGATCTGGGAGGGTCACCGCCATCCACAGCTTTGACTCGGAAGGTGTATGTGGTTTTCTGCTCTCGGTCAAAGGATAGGGTGGAGAAAATAGTCCCAGTGTCGTTCTCAATAGAAAAAATGTCCTCTTCTTCTTCAATGAAAAGACTCATCTCAGCATTTTGGCCTTTATCTGCATCAATGACTGTAACCATGCCAACTGGGCTGTTTGGCTCAAGGTTCTCTTTGACATAGAAGGTGAACACATCCTGCATGAACTTTGGTTCGTTGTCATTCTTATCGGCCACAAGGACAACCACTGTTGCAGAGCCCTGAAGGGTGTTTATGCCCTTATCTTTGGCTATCACTTTGAATTCGTAGCGCTCTGTTTGCTCTCTATCCAGAATGCTGTTTACTCGGATGTCTCCACTGTCTGCATCGATAGAGAAAATCCCATTTACTGATGAGTCAAGGGAATAGGCTATTTCAGCGTTCTTCCCACTATCTGCGTCGATGGCTGCCACCGTTGTCACCCTCTCGCCTGGGGCATTGTTTTCCGGAAACGACACCTCTACTACATTCTGGCTGAAGATGGGAGGGTTGTCATTAGTGTCGCCCACTTTGACGATAAGAGAGTTATTACTTGCCAGACTGGGGCTTCCAGAGTCCACAGCCACTATGACCACATTGTATTCCTGTGTGGCTTCATAGTCCAGTGGTGCAGACGTGTGGAGGAAGTATTTCTTTTTATTCTGCTCACCCTCCATTTCACTGGCTGGTTTGAGCTGAAAGGGAACATCCCCTACCACTGTGCAGGTCACTATGCCATTTTCCCCCTGGTCACGGTCTGACACCTGAACTAAGGCAATGGGTGTGTCCACCACCACATCCTCAGCCACGTTGGCTATACCATCTTTTAAGAAAATGCGTCCAATTTTCCGTATCTCTATGGCGGGGACGTTGTCATTCTCGTCCTTGATGTTCAACACCACAGTGGCCTTGTCCATTTTGGGCGGCTGGCCTCTGTCACGGGCCATTACTGTGAACCTCAGTTGGCTCACTTCTTCACGGTCAATGCGGTGCAACACACTCAGCCACCCTGTGCTCTCATCCAACCTCAGCAGCCTCCTCACTGACTCTGTGGCTGCCCCAAACACATACTCTATTTGACCATTAACCCCCACGTCTGCATCGGCCGCTTTGAGCTGTAGGATGGGGGCGCCTGGGGAGCTGTTTTCTGGTAGGTCAGCCTCATACACACTCTTCTCGAACCGGGGGCTGTTGTCATTCACATCAGTGATCATCACCCTCAGAATGGCCTGGGAAGAGCGAGGGGGATCTCCTCCATCCCTAACACGCAGTGTGAGCTCATAGGAGTCTCTCTGTTCCCTATCAAGGGCCCCTTTAATGATGAGTTGAGGCTGTTTCTCTCCATCAGTAGTGTCAGCAACTTGCAGCTCGAAGACGCTGCTCCTGCTTGCGCCTTCCTCAAACCTCCTCTTCCCCGAGTACGAATCCCCAGAGGAGCCCAGGCGCCTTGAGTTCTCCCCATTGTCCTGGATAAGCTCGTATCTCTCTATTCCATTTCTGCCAAAATCTCTGTCTGTGGCAGTGGGCAGCAGATAAAGGGTTCCAATGGGTCTGTTCTCCTCCACAGACAGTGTCAGGACAGGGGAAGGGAAAGACGGGGTGTTATCATTTATATCTAATATGATGACTTTTCCCTCAAAGAGGTCGACCCAGCTCTGGGCTGGTCCGATGACTGACACTTCAAAATCTATAAAACACTCATTCTCATCAAATATCATTTGGCACTGCTGTAATTTTTCACGGTCTATCCGCCTCTCGTTGGTGGTGAGCTCACCTGTTATGTTGTCAATTTTGAAAAAATCTGAGCCCGATTCGAGCGTGAATGTCACCTCGCCGGACCCGGCAACAATGCCCAGGTCGGCGGCTACGTTTCCTACTCTGACATCAGCGGGTCCCTCCTCAGCCAAACGGTACCGGAGCACTTGCTTGGCAGCGGGCTGATGCACAAGCTGCAGGATGAGCATGCAATAGTACAAATAGTCCACTGCACCAGTAGTCCTCATTGTTCTCCCCTGGAAAATGTCCACTTAGGTTTGAAAAAAAAAGAAATGTTTTAAAAAAATAATGATTTAATCACTGATGGAAAGTCCGACTGTGGGGGGGAAAAAATCGTGTTGATTAAGAGCAAAGCCCTCGGTTTCGGGATGTGTGAGACTTCATCCTCCGGACGACTTCCTACATCGCTCCTGCTGCAGTGAAAAGCAGCAAGTGCACGGGCTTCCCTCTCTCCCCTGCTTCCCCACCTCCAGCACTGGATGTTAGTTGCTCTTTCCTTGTTTTTGTAAAAAAAAAAAAAAAAAGAAAAAAAAAAGAAAAAGAAAAACCGCAATGGTGTTTAAAAAAAACACACACGCACGCACACCAGAGAGGCTCCGTGCGCTCTGGAAGGTGCCACCAATAGGCCTATGTGAATTTCATGCGCGTAAAAGCCAAAATGTCATTTAGTCCGAACATCATATCACCAAGAAAGTATGATCAGAGTCCACAGCGCGCCGCTTTACTCACAGTTTGTGGTAAGAATCTCCTTCTCGGGTGAGGCTGCAATATTCCCCTCTCTCTGGGTGATATGTCCAACATATGTCAGAGGATCATTTAAATGCCCGTGCAGTTTCCAAACTCATCATATACGGCGAGCGTTGACTGCGCGGCTGCCCGTCAACTCTCCGATCCTGAGGATGTGAATGCGAAGCGAACGACCCGTCCGGCTTTGCCTCTCCTGCTCTCTTCCTCCAAGTCACTTGCAACCAGCAGACAGTGGATATAGTTCTTTTTGTGTGTGTGTGCGTGTGTGTATGTGTGTTCGAGCCAACTCCACAATGCACAACCTCCTGAGAGAAAAAAAAAAAAAAAAAAAAAAATCAGGGTTGTATTTCAAATGAAGAAAGCGAAACCGAAAAGAAAAACTTTAAATAAAAAAAGATGTATATCCGACGCAGTTTTTCTTTTTTTAGTTTTTGGAAAACGCTGGTTGAATTCCTCAGTGTGTCCAGCATATTCTGTTGCCTGTTCCCCTCACCTGCAGACGCGCCGCATGTGTTGGCAGCCCCTATCTGCAGCACTGTGAGAGGGATTCACAAATGATATTGCAGTCTCTCTCTCTCTCTCTCCCTCCCCTCTCTCTCTCTCTCTCTCTCTCTCTCTCTCCTCGTCTCCGTCTCCTTCTCTCCACCCCCCCCTCCGGTTTCTTCTCACCCAGCGGCGCACGTAAACAGGGTCGGACTTTGGTCTTGATCGCCGGGTCCAGAGGCCAGCAGACAATATTAGGAGGAAAGGGACAGAGGAGGTGTGGAGATGCCTTGATGCGGTCGTTTTCACCGGTGTTTTCACGCGACGTGGCGCGACACTTTTGTGAGCACACCCACCACACTCCTGCCTAATGATCCCGTGCAAGATATGACGAGATGTCCGATTTAAAAACAAAAAACAAAAAAAACAACAACAAAAGAAGAACAACAAACTATTTAATAACAGGCATCGTGTAGTAAAGGTTTTTGGATGGTGGAGCCTGTGCAGTTTGATGCGGGGCTTATGTGGCTTTTTGCCGCAACAGATTCCATGTGCGACAAAACACATTCGGAGTGTAACTTTTACGCACTCTGAGGCTGACATAAGTTGTCTGTCTTTCCGCTATGATGTGATGCGGTTGCGAATGTCTTACCCAGCAGCGTGCAACACAAAGCCGCTGCAGGACAGACGGGACGGGACGGGGACGCGGAGACACGGGGACGGAGTAGGGGGGTGGGGGGGTGTTGTGTGCGCAGTGCCGTGGTTTCCCTGTGGTTACTAATATGTATGCGTGTGGTCGCCAGTGGCTGTGCTCTCCGGCGCGGCAGCGGCGGGGCTCGGTGTCTCTTTTCGCCCGTGCACGCCGTTCAGTCCACTCAGCATCCAGGAATCTGAGTCTGTGACTATGAACGCATTTGCATAAAGAGGAATAAAGACAGAAAAAAAAACAACCACCTCCCCTTCCCCACCCTCCTCTGCATGGCCCCGCTTTTTTTTTTCAGCACGATCTGAGCGGGAGGTGGTGGTGGGGGGGTTCTTTCTTATGCGGCCACTGCGCAAACCCAACTCCCTGTGTAAGATCAGTGTGCGCGCGGTGTGTGTCCTACCACAGCTGCCACCCGAGTGCTTGTGATGGGTACAGTGTGGAGCAACACATTCATTGTGATGCTGGAGGGCATTCTGTCCAGCATCACGCTGAGATTCCTTCCAGAGGCGCGCAGTGCAAAAGGCAGGTAAATGGGCACATTTTCGGCTCTTGCGTGGATTCATCCACTACAGCACGTATGCGCATTTGCACCGCTGTGTTCAGCAAAAAAAAAAAATGTATATATATACATATATATATATATATGAATAGGAAATGCGGTGCTTTTAATGTATGTATTTCCTTCTCCAACTTAAGATGTGGGGATGCTCTACTGTTTTAATATAGGGACAGTGCGGCGCTGTGTGTGTCTGTGAAATTATACAGTGAACGAGTGTAATGAGTGAGTGAAAGAGTGAGGGACAGAGTCGGATAGAGGGAGGGAGGCGGGAGGGGGGGGGGGCAGACAGTCTCAGCAGCTGCATCTCGCTCAGACGGCTGTCTGAATTCCAGCAGTGGCTTTATCCTTGCTTCCTAGCGCCCTCTATCGTCACATCAAAACCAAAACCCTCCCAGAAGGGCTTGCAGTGGGAGAGTACAGCAGCGATAAGGTAAATCCAGTCATACTGCACATGTACTCCAGGCAGTGGGAGTTATTATCATCCTTTAGTTGATTAGTTTCTCTCAAACAGAACTCTGTAAAATAGTGCCACGCTCAATAATGTTCAATAATAGGTGGGGTACATTTATATTTACACATAATTCACAAGATCAAGCCTAAATGAATGTAAAATAGTATTAAAATACAACATTTTAATGCATCAAGATTAATTTAAAAATGCTACATCAGAATGACAAATATGAGTTTGTTTGGTTCAGGAAATGTTATGTAAATTAATTATATACCTTTTATGAAGAGAAAGGTCAAAGGTTAAATGTTATTTTTGACCCAATAGACACAACAAGTTCAAGTTTCACCTTAAAACTGTCCAAGTAGAAGCAAATAAAGCGTATTTGACATTCACAACTGCAAAGGATTCACATATTAATTATATTTACAGTAAGAAACAAATAGTGGCATGTCAGTTTAAGAAGTGCGAAACATCACAGCTATACATGTTTTAGTTCAGGGTAAATATCCAAACAGTAAAATAAAGAATTGTACAACACCCCCTTGTTTTTTCGTGGTTTTCTATCCATAGGTACTGAGGTATGTGTATCAGTAAAACAAAGAAAAAAGAAAAGCAAAACACAATCACACAAACACACATCTCCCCCTACTGAAAATCTCAGTCAAATCAACCTGAAAGTTAATTTGAAAAAGATCCATTAATCGTTCGTTGGATTTTCAGCTAACCAGCATGAGTCCACTGGATCAAACAAGAATTCACAAAAAAAAAAAGAATAACAATAACAACTCCAGTGTGTCCAGAGGCGATCAGAACAACCGGATACAAAGTGGAATTGAGCATTGAAGGTGATCTCTCAGACGGTGTTTACTATCAGAACCAAAAAGATCAAGGCTCCAAATCATCTCAAAAATCATCACTGAAAATCATTATCATAGTTTGTGTGCAGCATCGGTCTTGCTCTCAAGTGGATGAGTGGTCCAAAACGATGCCAGGGAAAGCACTCGACGCCTTTACAAAGACCTCATCAGTGGGAGCGAGGTGTTTTTGAAAACGAGATGTTCAAAAAGAGTGATTAATACTCCCACGCAATGACTGATAGCACAAAATTAAAACAATTTCTGATAAGAGATGATACATCGTTCCCTTTTTTTTTTTTTGGCCCAAAAAAAGCATTTTTTTTATTTCTGAGTCCTTTCCATATTAAATAAATAATGCAAATATTAGGTAATGAGTGGACAGCAAAAAAAAAAAAAGGCTATAACTTTAGAATATGCACAGACATTCCAGAAGTGTTAATGAAATGTGGGAAGAGAAAATGAAAATGAATGAATGAAAAAACTAGGATGATTGCACAGTCTGCCGAATTAATGGTTTCCATTTTATAAACATAATAAGAGCAGAAATGTCCGCCTGTCCTATTTATTTGTTAGTTAATGCTTATTGTAGTTCTGTGGCACTGTGCGCAAAGCGGCCGCAATTATGTCAGCTGCTGATATGAAATGACACTTCTGTTGTCCAGTGATGTGAGGATAGAGGTATTGAAATGATTGGTTGTTAAAGTATGAAACTGTACCTTATTGTTATTACGTTGATTTGACTCATTTCTGTATTTGATTTTTTTATGGACACAACCATCAAAATCCATACGGGGCAATTGAAAACAACACACGTCTTTACATAAATATTTACATATATATGATGGAGAACAGCAATTCATAGAAGCAGAGACAAAGAGGAGATGACAAAAGAGCTGTAATGTAGGTGTTTTTACTATATTTACCTGATAGCGAACATATTTTACACCTAAGCAGGAGGCTTTGGCAACTGCGCTACTGGCACTTGTTTATACACACATATATAACACACAAAACTTCTTGATTGAGAAGAAGAAGAATTTTCAACACTGTTGGTCTCTTGGACTCACTTCATTAACAACATTTTAATCATTAGATCTTCATTAGGTAAAAAAAATTATCACAATTAAAGGTGCTCTGTGGAGTTTTTCTTGTTTCTTACAAAAACACATTGTGTGTATCCTTGAGGTCACACAAATGTGTTGAATGTATTTGCAACCTCATAAGACATTGGCAAATAATTTGTTTTTATTTAATGTCGCGCTGTATTTACATCCGTGTTCGCTAGCTTGCGGTCTTCTTCTTCTTCTGCACTGTCTTGCTGCAGATATTTTTTTCACATTACCGGCATCAACTGTCAATCAGAGGAAGCGCGTGAAACCGGTATCTGCATCATGTTGCCTGTGCGGTGCATGCTCGCCTGGGGA